ACTTTATAACATTATTATAGACCCATTAAACACAAAAACTGCTCTGGCTCCAGGCACCTGAACCCCACCAGGGGTGGCAACAGCGGGGGGGGGGGGGGGCCTCTAATATCGATTTTAATAAGCCTTTGAAATCCCTGAATTGTCAAAATTTTCGGGGGCTTCACCCCCAGGACCACTTTTGGAACCTATTAATTGAAGCTCGACCACGCCCACTTTGCTTTCGTGGGGGAAATCTGGCCCCTCGTCGGGGCAACGCCCCCCCCCCACCCCGGGCAAATCCTGGTGCCACCTCTGGACCCCACGCCAAGAGAACCCCCCCTTAGAACCCCCCCTTGAAAGGACCTGGCTACGGGCCTGTAAAATGCCTTAGTTTATTATAATCCTTAATCATTTATTAATTAATAGCTGTTAAAATTAGAATGGGCGAATTTAGGCCAATTTATGAAAATTGAAGTTGAAATATACTATACTTTTATAGGTCAGAAAAAGAAGGTGCTCTCCAATTCGTCATGTTCAATTTTTTGGTCAACTATGCCTGTTGAAAATTTGATGGCGGGGAACACATGGGACTTCAAAGGCATCGCGCAAACGTTCTTTACGCGCTGCGGCAACTTTGATCTTGGTTCATTTGCATAGCGCTGCGTGCGCGTAGCTTCGCCGAGTGATCTCCTTCTCAATAATACCTCCATGGTTTAAACATGGATGAGTAGTTTTTCCTCCATGGTTTAAAGCTTGTGACTGAAGCATAATAAATGACTGAGATGTCAGAATGTAAGATTAAATAGTGAGTTTAATTATTTTATTGCGTACTTAAAATATTAGATTTCAAATAACAGCCAATCTTGTTGATAGGATAATTTTCAGGATGCCACCATTTTTTGATAATGTGACAAGGATATGACATGTTCATTATAGGATTAACAACTAATATGCAGATTTCAATGACGCTTAAAATCCCATACTGCGGTACTATTGATTCAACCACATTATTTCTTCTTTAGTGAATAAAAATGTGTACAGAAGTCTAATAATACTAACGGTAATAAAATGTTAATAACAATAATAATAATAATAATAACAATAATAATAATAATAATAATAATAATAATAATAATAATAATAATAATAATACCAATAATAATCTTTATTATATAAAATATTGTTTGTTACATGAACAAAATAATGGTAAGATTATTATTAAAAATATATTCATTGATATATAATTATATATGATCATATTATTGGAGATTGATGTGTATATAAGCGTTACTTGATAATTATTTGAATTGGTTCATCATAACAAGACAATAGTTATTGATATATGTAGCTGTGTGTTATTGGAAAAGTTTGTTTAAGTTTTCAATAATACTGAGCACTACTAGGTTAATTATATGCTAAGAGTACAAGGTACTCTATACATTGGCAACATTAGAATACCGGATGAAGGACAACATACCATAGATCCGCCAAAATTATTGGACGTATAATTATAATATACTAGCCTACTTAGAAATAATACTCAAATATCAAATATATATATCGCTAAATTATCTTTTGCTTAACAAATACATTGAACCATTGATTACTAAATATTTTAAAATATTTAAATAGCTTTCTATTTATATCAATCACAGTCTATTGTTGTTACAAGAGTGATATCAGTTTACCGCTATTGTCCTACCTTTAACAACAACACACAGCAACAAGAGGCTGATCCTGTATTCATTCATTATTCAGAGTAAAGTGGATGTTAATACGCCCCATCTCGAGAAGATATACCGCTCATTCTTCGGAGGATTTCAGTGACAGTCGGCTCTCCAATTATGGCAAATGACGATTGTTCTATATTATTATATCCGTTGAGGTCAGTCGGATTAGGCCATATGTTTTTATAATCAGAGCAGCATTGAGTAGCGCCATCCACTCATCTACATTTCATCCCATAATAGTGATGTATCATTTTTGTTTTAAACGAATGTATTATTCATAAAATTGCGCTGTCTAGTAACATTAATGTAACATCACACATTTCAATTTCGGGACATAATAATACATGTGTAGCATAGCTAATGTTGTCATGATAAATAAATGAATAAAGAAATATATGTCTTAATTATTATCGTGGAGATCTCTAGGTCCCCGGTTCAATTCCTATCGCTGCCTCTCCTTGTGTTTCAACTAGAGGGCTGAAATACAAGTTACAATAGCGCACCGTCTTTCGGATGAGACGTTTAAGCCGTTGGTCCCGTGTGCATTATGGCCCATGCGCACGTTAAAGAACGCAGTAGGACACTCTTCGGAAAAGAGTAGGGGATTGTCTCCCGGTGTACTGCCCAATCACCACCAGAAGGACCCCACTGGAAATAAGTCTTCTTCTAGACTTTCGTGAGCTAGTCCTTGGTGTTTACACCGAATAAATCCAATCCAATCATATAGGCCTACTATTTTGAGTAAGGACAACATGTTTGTGACGACTTACCGTCCAGACGTGTGAACAGTTCTGCAAGAAATATATCGTGGTACAGTACCATTCTTTTAACTGTCTTACCATTATTGGCATATTTCGAGTTCCTATTTATAGCCATTAAAATACCATAAAATAATTTACAATAGCATGAGTCCACTAAATATTTGACGAGGACTCGTCACGCTACAAAATCAACACAAGTCATTATTCAAATTACGTGAAAGGAGCAGCAGAGATAGGTAAGGAAGTCATGTATGAGAACATTTTTAAGGCTATTATATTATTGTTGTTGTCACCTTTTGTGTTATTATAGTATTAATACTAAAAACAATAATAAACATTATTATTATTTTAATCATTACCTATATTATTAGTGACCTAGGTCTATAAGGTTATTCTACGTAACCATAGCTCTACTTTTCGTGAGCGTTTCAGTCAACCGCGAGTGTACCATAATAGGCATCCGTAGACTATGATATGATACTACGCAGCAAACCTAATTTGAATAACATTGTGTGTGTGTGGGGGGTGGGGGTGGTGTGTGTATGTGTGTGTAGTAGTAGCAGACAGCAAAAACATCTTTAAAAGACCACAACCGTTTTAAACCTCAAAAGCATGTAGACTAGGCTTAGCTGATTTTGTAAAAAGCACATCGGAATATACATGTTTCGGCAGCCGAAAGCAATCTGGCATCATGTTGAGGTTTCTTTAATACTCCTTCAATTTGGTGGCTTCCTTAATTATGCCTAACTCTGTGAAATTTATTTAGTGAATTTAAAACTTCCGAACATACGTCAGAGAGGAAAACCAAAATCCCAACAGTATTATATCTGTAACTTTTTCCATATCTTTTTCACACACTCAAAACTGGATTAAAGCCAGAAAGTTTTCATATTGTCTAGCTTACATATATTTTTTTTACAATATTTTACGTATTTAATGTTCTAAAGGAAGCGTTATGAATACCAAACAACCTTGTTATAACATAAAAGTGTAATGAGAATAATCGCTACGATGACATTTTCTAAAATTTTATACACATTTACAGAAATTGTCAAGAGGGCGCTATCGAACCTAAAAACACAATCATGAAAAAAAATAATACTATTGTACGATTGTCATTTGTAAAGGAAGTTATATTGAAGACAATGATATTAACTAGGAGACGTTGGTAGTCATTGTTGGCTTCTTAACCGTCTAGGAGATCAAACATCTGCTTATTTGATAGTCGAATTTTTAATAAAGTCATATGTTCTAAGCCCCACTTACCATTGGATAATAGTTAAATAATGACATTAATGACAGAGATTAACATTCCGCTACTGAGTCAGATGTTATTTATAGCACGCCGACTTATCTGGGGGCTTATTTATGTAAGACTACGTATGAGTCTACTGTATTGGGATACTAAGCGAATAACTTCTACATAGAATTGTGGGTTGTTTTTTTCAGTTCCCAATGCTGTTTCATCAATCATGAGAAAGAATGAGTAATTTCAGGGTCAAATCATATTTGGAATTGAAAAACAAGGATTTGTTTAAATTATTTTATTCAATAATGTTCAATAGCTAAAATAGCCAGAGTTTAAAAAAAATAAATTTGACGATAAAATCCTTCTTCGAGATTGTTGATCTATTATCTGCGGTTTTTAATTGCATTGTACAGAGTTGGCGAATTGAATGAAATCGAACATTGAAATTAAAACTAATTGGCCTAATAATACCGAACCGGTATTCGAACCCGGGACCGTCTATACAGCCGCCTTAACCAACCGGGCCATGGAGGATTCGTTGGGAATTTAAATCCGATTAAATCAACTCATATCTCAGACCCATTTTGCTCACGCGTAGTTGAACAACAACAGTTCGAATGCCATGACACATAACACCCTCTTCTTTTAAGCATTTAACGGCAAGACGGGATCTTACGAAATATCAACAAATAATGTTAAAATTTTATTAATCATAGCCCTTCAACAAAAAGTTTCTTCTCAGTTGCCTGACTTTTGGTGGGACTTCAACCCGTTACACATTGCTATCAAGGCGAGCAATCATAAATTTAGCCCAAGAAAGCCCATGATATATATCAGATCATTGGGGGTAAATCAGACCAATCAAGCCAGAAATTTCACCAAACAACTGATTCACACCATTGGAGCTGTACACCAGAAGTAAGTACACTGCAGTACAGTAAATCTGAGTTGCTGAATCGCACAACGTGTAAAATAAATGGTAAACTTAAATGACTTAAACTACGTCATTTTCATAGAAACGACCTAAATTTTTGGGATGCAATTTTTATAACAATATGTAGTACCTTTAATAGACATGTTTTATGTCACACACAAGAAGAAGTCGTACCACATTGGTATTCTGTCTAACAAAAGGTCCAGTGGCCCAGTTGACAAAGGTGTCTGCATATTCAGTAGTAAACAGAACAATAATGTATTTTTAAAAAATAGTATTGTTTTCAGCAAAATATTCCTTGTAGTTTCAAGAATCTGTTCGTTTATCTTTTTATAGAAACGCCATAATTTTATCAATAGCTTTTTAAAACCCTAGGTCACCTTAGCGTTAGGGGATCCCTCATGCACTGGCGGATTTAAGGGGAACCCTGCCGGTCAGGAACCCCGTAAATAATTCAAAATAATTTTTTAAGAATTGAGAAAAAAATAAAAATTATATTCAAAATGTGGGAGTGCCATTTCCGGTCATCTAGAGGCGACCTTTTGTCTATCTGTGAAGATTCCTCTCTGGCCCTCTTTATTTCGAATTCCTGGATCCACCACTGCAAGGACCACCCCATCTGTGCGAATGTTCAAGGAAAATCCTGGATCCCCACCAGTCTGGATACAATATAATTTACTTATAAATTATGTAGACACAACCCTATTGTCCACACCATCTTTAAAATCTCTTTTAATAACAATGATTTCGACTAATAATCATCTAATGTTTAATTTACTCAAGTGTTAGAGTAAAGCACTTCGACCAGTTAAAGAAACCATATTTATTTAAGTGTTATTTAAATAAATTATAATGGCGAAATCATAGGCTTATTGTAGCTTATATGAGAAATTTTATATTTTATCAATCAAACCACGAAACTTGTGACCAGATGAATGTTTTCAACTATTATTGTAGCTTATGTTAACCTAATCTTATGGGTTTTTTTATATCTTGTATTGTACTTATTATGAATCTTATTTAGAAATTGATGTTACGTAATAATTTTTAAATGATAGAAAGACACTTACAAGCTTACCATGAACACTATATAGGTATTTATGTAAAGCTTTAAAAATATATATTTTAATAACAATTTCGAGAAGAAAAACAAATATGGGTAACAATTAGTGGCTGTACTTCTATACATTTAAATTTTTTTATCGCATCTCGTGTTTGAAGGTTGTAGTAATTTCTAAAACGTGCCTCTGTACCAATATTTCACTTAACACCTTTTTCAATATCTGAACATTGCTGCTGATGCTAGGTGTTGAGTGGGATACGATACGACGTTCTACCACGAATTCTTAATAGCATCATCGTAAATGTATTTTTTACCTATAGTCAAACCAATTAAGTGTTTACATTTCTGTAAAAACTTTATGGTTGGGATACGACGGATACTATTACACACTCACAAGTGCTATTAAAACCGTATTCCGCACACCATGTCTTAAGAACCGGATGTTCTGGCATGTCATCTCCTCAGTCTTTAAGACCCGTGTAGTCCCCTGCTTGATCTCGAGTTCGCTCACTCAATTTAGTGTATCCAGTGTCGCTTAGCGACGACATCCAACGATAATCCTGGCTTTCATCATTCATATCCGTATGGCTCATAACTTCAGAAGTTGCATAATATTCAATTTTATTGTCTTTTTTCTTTGCTGCTGTCTTCATAGGCACTGCGTACAAAGAGTCACTGCTTGCATTGTGTGGTTGTCTCTTTTCCAGAGACGTTTGTCGTGGTGGCGCCACTGGCATGGACTTCTTTGCGTTTGCTGCAGTTAATGAATTTGGTGAAACCATAGGTACACAATACTCTTCATCCATACAATCTGCTGCCACAGCAGCATATCCGATAGCGCCCTCTTCACTGTCAGGCTCAACTGACGGTCTGGCAATCGTGTTCTTTATGGATCCATCTTCAGAGAGAGATGCTTTATATATATGCTCCCTTTCTTCTTTAATTTCTTTTTCAGGTATAGCGTGATATTCTGCTTCGAAATATTGTTCGAGAAGCTTGTTATCACCTGGTCGCTGCATTGATGATACTTTAAGATTTTGATCTGGTTCGCAATATATTATCGTTGCGTCACCTTTAAGGAAATTTAAGCAAATTTGCATGATAATTACAATATTATAGCTATGGATGAACACACAATCAGTCGTAGGTCTAGTGACTTTTTTTACTGCACATCTAACCTTGACTTGCATTGGAATTATTTGAAGATTAGGCCACAATAGGTAAACACTAAGTAATTCATATTTAATCAGACCAATTCGAAAGAATAACGTTCTCTATTGGCAATCAAGGGGCCTACTACTAGGAGCCTAACCTGTATTTTTTTTAAATTTATTTATGTACTTTATTTAACTCTGTTGTCTTTACAGTGCAATAAATACGAAACATTTATAACTATGGTTTAAAAATATAAGACATTACAACCACATAACAATATAAGTAAACATAATTTATGACATTCATTGAAAATATATTTAATAAACTGTTAAACTTACCAAACTGCTGCATATGTGACCTGTTTGATATTCTATTTGAAAATTAAAGTACAAGACAAAACAATATAAATAACAAAACAATATGAACGTGTTAACAATAGGTCTACGTTAAAGAAAACAGGGCCTAGGTATTTGTTAAAATAGTAGGTAACAGGTAGACGGTGATATTAGGCCTATGTTAAAAAAAATATATAAAATATGAAAATATACCGTATTCATAACCCCTACAAAAACTATATATATATATATATATATATATATATATATATTCTTATCCATATAATATGATTATATAAATTCACCTCATATAAGCAGCATACACAATTATAATGACGACAGCAAGACAAACAACACCTCCAATAATGAAATACATAACTGAAAAGAAACGTACATAGATCGAATTCAATCAATCAATAGTCAATCAATCAGTCAATCAAGATGGAAAAGAAGAAAATGATGTAGTTCAAGTCATTGTGTAGTATAGAGCCCATCTCCACAGCAGAATGCAATGTTCATTGGCGCTACGACATTAGTAGGCCTATTACTCAAAGTTCACAATTCTTTCCGTCAGTCATGACTTACATAGCGCCTGTACCCTTGCTCCCCACAGAAATGTTTACTATAGTTCAAAGGACCTAATTATGCCTATGTTATCAATTAAATGTAAAGTTACCATTTAGTTTCATAAAGTTTCTCTTCTCTGAAGGCAAAACTCCTTGCATAGGCGGTAGGTTGTCATCAGTGGTACCATCTAAAATATTCGTCAACAATTCTACAATATCAATTCAAACAATAATTGGAAAATATTTTTCTTTAAATATTACGTCATTTTACATTGTAACTGTTCCTATATATGTATATGTTGCAACTCAATCAAGAAGCTTTAGTCAGCAAAGCTTATCCACCATAGTGTATTCACTGGAAACATTATACGAAAGTCACCACTTAATGGGTCGTGTATGAAAAGTGAACGGTTCAGTCGCGGTTCTGATCTACTTGCGTGTATCAGATTATCAAGATTATTGCTTAGCAAAGTCTTATCATATTATCAACCTACTTTTACACAGTAACTTAAAAATATGTAGTGAATTAGAAAAGATCGAGATAAAAAGAGGCCAGATAAGGGAAGGCTAAGGATTATGAAACACTTCCTCTTATTCTCCTCTTCGTAATCTTCGTTCTTCATCTCAAAATCTCTTGACTGTTCCGTCTCGTAAAGGCAAATCAAAGACTTATGGTCAACGTGCTTTTTCTTTTCAAGCCCCCTTTATATGGAATTCCTTGCCGCTTTTTGTTCGCGATTCGTCTGATTTGCTTTCTTTAAAAAAAAATCTTAAAACTTACCTATTACTAGAACGTTAACTTGCTTTATTTCCTCAACTAGCACCTTTGATAAATTTTTGAATTGGCGCTATATAAGTATTTGTTATTATTCTTATTATTAATGCTTTTAACTACATTTTTCAATGGTTGTTTTCAGTGCAGATTGTGTATCTTGATTTTATATTTTAGTAACGGATTTTAGACAATGTAGAAATGTTCTACAAGTATAATCAACAACAGTTCCGAACCATACTATTATTACTTGCGTTTGACCAATAAATAAATCTTGAATATTAGAATCTTGAATCTTAGAAAAAACACAAAACTATATGACTGTCTCTTATACACATCTAGATGTGTATAAGAGACAGATAATAATGAAGCTGAGTTAGACAGTAATACACAAAATATTTTATTCAGGAAACGAATATTTCGTCTTGTCCTCAAGACTTCATCAACGTAAATCAGTTACGCTGATGTAGTCTTGAGGACAAGACGAAATATTCGTTTCCTAAATAAGTATTCTACATATAATATTATATATTCGACGTGGATAGTACATACATTTACAAAAATAAAATAAGAGGCGCTTTGCTATTGTTGTGAGCTTTCCGTGTTCAATAATAATTATAGAATAAACTTCAACTTACTTTGTCCACATTTGTATAAACTTATTTCTTGGTTACTTCCACACGTCTGGGACGCGTTGCCGTTGCAAGGTGTATTGCAGTTTCCATCGGGGGATTTTCCGTACATATAATAACTTGCATTCTCGTGACCACAGTAGCATTCATTGCGAAATTCTAATCCAAAATATTCGTAGTTACTCCCACAACAGACGCTGGCGCATAACTCAACTGTCATTGCACTGTTGGCGCACCTATTAAGGCAGCCGTAGCTGTGGCACCTGGGGTCTTTGTCCAGGTTACAATCGTAGTCCTTCAACAGAGGCTCGCCTCCAATGTTATCTTTATAACAACCGATTATGTTGTAATTGTTTTCTTCCGGTTCTAAAAAATGATAGTCATAAATTATGGAGAACGTACGGTAGGCCTATATGGTCATTGGCATCGATCGGTTCTAATCAAGGGTACGGTATGTGAAGAGGACATATTTTGTAATCGAAGCAAACAAATTGTTTGGCATTTTGGACCAATTGGGCATCATCGAAATATCCAGATTTATAAGATAATGTATATTCACCTATGGATCTTCCAACGTTGCTGTTCTTTTGAAGTTTTATTTATATAAAAATCTAGTACGGTACGTATCAGTGGCGTATATCTAAAAGTCACGGGGGGGGGGGGGGGGGGGGGGGGCGCGAAGGTGAAGTGAAGGACTCGACAATCATTTGAGGGGCGCTAATTCGAAAAAAAAAGTGATTTTAGGTGATTTTTAACTACTTGACTGTGTTTTTTGGGGGGAGGCGACTGAGGGAGGCTAATTTATTTGGAAGGGGTGGGGGGCGTGCGTTCCCTAGATACGCCACTGTTACGTATTGATAAACTTTTAATCTAGTGAGGATCAATGAGTTTTGTCATTGTAATATGTATAATATATATATCAGATATTGACTTGCATGGTTGTTTCCGTTGTGTTTATAGGATGCAATTAAGCCCAAATTATTTTAAACCTAACTAGTTTTCTGAATTCAGTTCTTTTGGAATTTAAAAAAACTGAAAACAGAAATAGTTATATATAATATAAGACATGCTGAATGTTTATTATATAAGTTAAATTGTATTTATGTTATAAGGTAAACCTACTGATTGCGATTTTACTACTGTATTATAATTTCAGAGTTTTATATTTTGTACGAAATTAAAATGATTTTGTGAATTGCTTTAAATATAATATGGTGTAAATAATGTATAAACATGAGAGTAAAACTATTGTAAACCGAAAAATAATGAAAACAGGAGAAATAAAGGTGGGTGACCCCCACGAAAGACAAAAAAAATGTTAATCAGGTATTGACTTGTATGGCTATTTCCATTTTTTTTTATAGGATGCTATTTAAGCCCAAATTATTTTAAACCTAACTATTTTATATGAATTCATTTCTTATGGAATTTCCAAAAAACTGAAAACTGAAAATATCTGATTTGTAATGCAGTAATATCCGCATTTTTTTTTAAATCTCTCAAGTAGGCCTAATCGAAATATCTTATATTTGTTTCCATTGTTATACGTATTGCGGTCTTCTCATGACTCAGAGTTAAATATCTTACCACGCGTTTAAATCTAGGCCTATGGTGTCTAAATCAGAGTTACTATAGGGCCTACAGCCCTAGGCAACTTACCGATGAACCGTTAAAACAAAATTAGAAAACATTAAACGTTTATCTCAGTTTCACTTAAGAAAATTATGCAACTAGAAAAAGAGGACGGTGAACGGAAGGAAGACGGAATTGATGAATTGATAACTGCAGGATGTAATATCATTAACTTACCAACATCAGTGCATTCAAGTCCAGCACGGAAACAAATAGATGATAGTGAACCCCATTCTATTTTTCTTTTGCAGTCAACTATTTTGTCTTCATTTCCTTGACACTGGAGGTCTGCTAGCCAGATAGGTTCACCTAGGCTTATGTTAACCTTGTTGTAAATCGAGTTGGTATCTCTTCCATATGCTGTAAATACATAACGTGCTTTACCTCGACCTTTATGGAAAAAAACAGAACGTGTTCGTATATTTGTTGTTTGCAATTCACTATCGCAATAATTATTTATACATTGATAAAGGATTCAGTGATATCTGTTAATCGTTTCGTTTAGCGCTTTAACGCCAGGCTCCGGAGGAAATCTCATCTTTTGCTGATATGTTGTAAAACTGATTTTTCTAAGACACGAAAAGCATATTTGACGAAAAAAGTTGGAGCAGTTAATGATATGCAGATTTTTGAATATTTAAACCACCGTTTTTCCATCTTTACCCCCTGATTATAAATATTAAATGTCGGTATCTCATTAACCGCTCCCGAGTTTTTCGTCAGATATGCTCCGGAGCCTGGCTTAAGGAAATACAATGTTGACATATGCCTTTTGCTGTTCTATTAAACAAAAAACATAATACGTATACATATACTAAATCTGTAAAACAGAAAATCAATATACATTTTCCCTAGCTTGTATGAAAGTACGAAATTCAAATGCATAGTAAATTACATGTACAGAAAAGTAATAATAAACAAGAAACATACGTAGGCCTAATCGGTGATGGCCGAAACAAAATGTAATCACAGTGGGCCTAAGTTTTGAAATAATTAAAATTATGAAACCGTTTGTATGATCTCGGTCTATCACACATAAACCATGGATCACTTAAGTTTAAATTTACTAGATTTTAAATAATTAATTTTTTTAGTATCTTATGATATGATTTATGATGATTTAATCCAATGTTATATCAACTCATCTATAGATTTACTACAATGCGGATTATGTTAATTGTCGTTTTTGATCAAATACTATATTTGTAAGTACAGTATTAGGACTGTTAAAAGTACGGTATACACGGTATGTAATATTATCAACTCGACATTCGTTCAATTAATACAGTTAGGATATCAAATGCTAGCAACTCGATAAGATAATGATGAGGAAGATGATGATGATGAATATGATCATGACGATCATGATGATGATGAAGATGATGATGACAAAGACAAAGAAGAATAATAGGCCTAATAGTAATATTAATAACAATGGCAATGTATTAGCTCTATGTTTTCTTTTCTTTAACAAACCGGCCTAAAGTTCAGGAAAAGTAGGCCTAAACCTACCATCTAGACATTACTAACCTAGTTGTCTGCAAATTACGTCACCATCAGCCCTATTCCACAGTGGACCACTGCAGATTGCTCCCCATTGGTTATCGTGGTAAACTTGCACAATATTGTAGTCGACCTCTTCCGGCATCAATCGAACATCACCCTCAGTCTGACCTGTTGAAGTTTTAGTTGTAAAAAATCGTACAATAAATTATAGAAAAAAATCAATCAATGATTCAGTGTTATTCAATCGATGATATCAACAGTGAAAATATCAATATCTTGATATCAATATATTAATCAAAACCAATATTAACATCTACATCAATATCAGTATATATTATATCAATATTAATCATCTACAATTGGCCAATCAGTAAGTCATTCTGTCATGCGTGTTGTCTGTCTGTTAAATAATCGAATTGTTAGTCAATTAGTCAATTGATCAATCAATCAATCACATTAGTTAATGTAAATTAAATTGCACTTCATTGAACGAATGCTTTAACGATTAATCTTATGGTAGCGTAATAAGTCTCAGGCATGCAACGCCAACATAAGTTAACAAAATATACAGAGAAAGTATAATATTTTATTTATCGATATCTTTTTTTTTTTTTAACTCAGACTGAATACTTTTTCATGAAATAAGCCTGTAATACTTTCTTATTCGTATATTAATATTAGGAGTAGTTACTATTGTGCCCTACTTAATAAAACAATATAAATTTATTATTTAATTCGATACCATTTTCAAAAGATTTAAATAAAATCAAGACATACCACTTATACCAGATACCATCGCCAGTAATAAAATGCCAGTAAATATACATTGTGAAATCATTCTGAAAGATTCGGCGTTAATATAAAGACGTTTTGGAGGAAAGTGCCGGTAGAACCTTATCGATCAATTTGAGTGACGCGATAGTACATGATTTGTTTGTTGCGAGACCTGCAATCCAGTGGCTGACACCGGGAATAATATTATCCGATACTTGATCTTTGCGTCACCTTCCTCTCCTTGACAATGCTTATTCAAATCCATTGTTTAATCCTAATCGTGATGTTTAGCGATCAAATAATGAGGGCGCACAATGCTTAATATTTCCTGTTTCTCATCCATCGTCTCAATCACAAACACAATTGTGGGGTTAGATATTTTTACCAGTTTTTCATCACATCCACCAGAAAATAAACTCTCTAATATAAAGATGGAAAACTATAACAAAATAAACGGCAGCTTCATCATTAAGTACAAATTGAATCGCATATTCTTTCAGAATATAATTTCAGCATTTCATTTTTCAGCTAGTCCTGCTTGTGAAAAGATTACATTTTGAACAATCGAATACTACTGTTTTTCAGGGGATGCGCCACAATTCCTAGACAAGAACGTAAGTGCGCTTGGTCGGGCGTCGCTCAAAATCTTTCGAAAGTGATGGGGGTGCAGCCCACAGAAACTATGACTAGGGGTTGCAAATGATTTTAGAGTCTACTAATACGTAAAACATATATAAAACATTTTGTGTGTTTTTCTCCCCGACGGGGAGGGGGTCCTCTCCAAATGAGCCTCCCTCCCACTGGCGCCACCCCTGTTCTTTTGTGGGGTTTTTTATATTTTTATGATGTGAATATTTACTGACCTAATAATTATATATTTATTTATTATGTCATTTATAGGCCTAGATGTTTTTTTTATTTGCTACAATGGGCACATCCAACATAAGATCGGAATTGTGCCCCCTTTGCTTCTGTACCACGTGAATGAAACGAAATGAATTTGAATTAAATTAAATTTCATAAAGATGTTGGGCCATCATTGACAGTTTTATTTGTATCCGTTCACTCTATTTCACAGAGAGTTTTCATTACTTTCAAGAACAACCTCGATAGTAACCTACGCTTGTTGCGTAGATGCCAGGTACAGTACTACTTTTTTATCGGGTACCGTACCTTTGAAAATGATTAATTGAACTAGTACCACTACCGAGACCAAAATG